AGCATTTATGTATGGTGTTGTTCGCCAAATGCAATGTGAAATGAAGCCGCCCGCCCGATGTAATGTGACCTGCGCACCAACAAATGATATTCAAAATGTCGGTCCGACTTGACAACACCAAGCGAAGGTTGTGCTAATGCAAGACGATAGCTCCGGCCTGGGAACGCGCCCGAGCATTCAGCTGGGAGCATCCTCAGGTCATCGTTGTAGCTGTTGTCCGTTGCCGGGCTTCATTCGTCCACATGTTCATAATGTGTTGGGTTCCAGGGGGTTGCAGGGCGTCAGCAAACATAATAGCATTGCTGACCCAGACTTTGCGCGAGCCATACTTGCACGCAGCAACATCCTTGCGAAGTGAATGTCTATCTGGCTCTCGTACGAAGGACGGCAGCTTGAGTGAACATCACGGTGGCAGCCCTTCTCGTGCGAGCTGCGGACAAACACAATACATCGCATCAGCGCCCCCACAGTATGGATCCAACAACGGGGACCTCCGATGCCACGAGCAAGATAGTCAATTCGGACACGATTGCCTGCGCAACGGCCTGAGAAGACCGCTGCGGATCGCGCTCAAAGAGCTCATTTAAGGCGTCCCCATCGAAGAGCGGGCCCTTACACTGACCATGGAGTGGCTGGAACTGGTGGCCATAACGTTGCAGGTGGAATTCACAACGCCGTCGGACGGCATCAATGGTGTCGATCAGGCGGTCCGTCGTCACGACGAGACGAATACACGACGATCCAGATACACGAAATGATGCAGCTGCAAAGCATGAGCACAACAGCTGCTGGTATGTATGTATGTATGTCCCACCTACGATACCGGCCTCGCGACGAGCATTTGTCCAGCATGTTGGACACACGAACATGTAGATGGATCAGACAGCGGGCTCCACGGCAGAGGTTAGCCGAACAATAACGGTACGGACGAGTTGCAAAAGTCCAGCACAGGGGATGCACGAAGGAGGGAGAAGGGACAAGGGAGGATGAGGAGGAGAAGGAGGCAAAAGGGAAGGCGGGAGGGAGATTAAGGAGAAGGAGAAGGAGGAAGAAGAAGAAGAAGTAGGATGGAGGCGTGAGGAAGGAGCAGGAAGGAGGAAGCAGGAAGGAGGGAGGAAGGAGGAAGGAGGAATGAGAAGGAAGTGTAAGGATGGAGGAGAGAGGAGGAAGGAGGAAAGCAGGAGGAACGAGGAGGAGGAGGATCTTGTTGGGCTCCACGCCCCAGGCGGAGGAGGAGAGGAGGAGGAAGGCAGGAGGGGGAGGGAGGAGGAGCCTCCCTGCCCAGGCACGATGGCCGCCTGCATCGCCGCGGCCTTAAATGGCGTCGCCCGCACCGCGACGCCCGACGGCGGGGCGGCGCTCGCCGATCGACGGACGGCGCTACAGCGGAGAGCTCGAGAAGAACGCGGCGGGGCGAGGAGGGAGGATCGAGGGATTGCGGATCGCGATGCGATTTGCTCGCGACCCCCTTCTCGGCCTCCAGAGGACTCTGGGTGCTTTTGGGCGCCACCTGGGGACCTCCAAAGACTTCGGGAGACCACTGGGAGTAGGAGGTGGAGGAGGAGGAGGAGGAGGAGGAGGAGGAGGAGGAGGAGGAGGAGGAGGAGGAGGGAGGAAGGGCAGGGGGTGGAGCGCGTGAGAGGTGGGGATCAGGAGGAGGGGGAGGAGGGGGAGGAGGGACGGAGGAGGAGTGGAGGAGGAGGGGAGCGAACGGGAGGGTGCGAGGAGGAGGAGGAGGAGGAGGAGGAGGGAGGAGGAGGAGGAGGAGAAGGAGGAGGAGCGGGAACAAAGGCGAGGGCTTACTTGTATGTGCTGTGTTTCGCGCGTTTTCCCTCGCTTGCTTGCCACGTATAATGTTTTGCACACTGCGCCGACGTCGGCATTGCAGCGTTTCGTTCTCTTCCCACCGAACGCAACAGCCACGAGCTGATGTTTGGCCCCAGCGTCAAACAAGCAGGAACAGAAGAGTGAGGAGGTTGGAAAGGGAGGAGGAGGAGGAGGGGGCGGAAAGAAGAGGAGGACGAGGACCGATGTTGTCCATGTCCTGGTTTCGCCCAACCATCCGCCACCGTCTCCCTCCCCATCCCCCCCTCGCCCCCCAATCCCCTCGAGGCTACAACAGGACGCGAGTCTGTCCTGTTTGTCCTCGCCCTGGTTTCATACTCCTCGACCCGCCTCTTCACCGCTGCTGCGATTAGGGTGCTTTGCTGGAGATCTGTTCCTTTCCTGGCTTCGTCTGCCCATCCGCCACCACCTCCCTCCTCATCCCCCATCGCCCCCCCTCTCCCCCCGAGACTACAACAGGATTCGATGTTTCCCTGATAGCGTTTCACTCTAGAGGGTTCTACATTCGCCACCACCTCCTTCCCCGTCCCCCCCCGAAGCTACAACAGGATTCGATGTTTCCCTACTAGCGTTTCACTCTGGAGGGTTCCAGCGACGGTGAGGACCGCACAAAAGACCCACAGGGGGGACGGGGAGCACAGGACGCCGTTCCCAGACGGCCGCTTCGTTTTTAGCTTCCTCGCAATGTATTCAGGCTCTTCCTCCTCCTCCTTCTCCTCCTCCTCCTCCTCCTTCTTCTCCTCCTCCTTCTCCTCCTCCTCCTCCTCCTCCTCCTCCTCCTCCGCCTCCGCCTACCCCTCCCCTCCTCCTCCCTCCCTCCCATCGTCAAGAATTCCCCTCCTACGTTCCTCTCATCCTCCTCCTCCTCCTCCTCGTCCTCCTCCTCCTCCTCCTCCTCCTCCTCCTGAACCTCGCGTCGTTCTTATCCCGGCTACATGTTTGGCCGGGCGGCCACGAGATTTTGTCCCAAAATACGACGGTGCACATGACCGCGCGCTCACAGCTGCCGCACTGCCACGATCACTTGTACAGAATACAGCACGGTGCACCCGGTCGTATTTTCGCCCCTGCCATACGGCCACGATCCGATCCCGTGCACTTGGCCGCGCCCTCACCCGTGTCACACGGCCACGATCGCTGGTGAAGAAATACCACGGTGCACATGGCCGTGCCCTCACCCTTGGCACACGGCCACGATCCACTGCAATTGGCGCATTGCGGTGCACATGGCCGTGCTCTGGCACCTGTCGCGCGGCCACGGCCCCTTGCCAAAAAAACGGCACCGCGGGGTCAGTTTGGGAACTCTGGGCCCGCTGTTACGCGCGCCCGCGGACAAAGAGAGAGAGAGAGAGAGCCTCAGCGCCGTGGGAAGGAATGGATGCGAGGGGTGGGACGTCAGACACGGCGCGAGCGCACCGAGCTCCCCCCTCGCCCACCCCCTTCCCGAGTCGGGGGTGGACAGAGCCCCCACCCTGACGCGTCGATTAGTGCAATGCTTTCGTTTCGGCTCTCGAGAGGGCGCCGCGGCCGTCATTCTCCAGGCTTGCGCCCGCTAGGCTTGGGCCCGAGGTCGTTTACACCAAACCATGTTTTCTTAGGTACGGGCTACTTGTTTTGTTCTTCGTAGTATCTTTGGCTGCTTTTGACTAGTTTTGACTTCTCCTCCTGCAGAGGGACCCCCCCCCCCCGAGGCTACAACCGGACGCTCTGGCGGGCCGCCCGGCGCGCCTCGGAGCGGCTGAAGGACGACCTGCAGGTGCGCCTCGTGAGCGCGCTGCGCAAGGCCACGGTGCCCGTGGCCGCGCCGCCAGGCCCTCCCCCCCGCCCCCGGGCTCGGGGGAGGGCCCCGGGAGGGCAGGGATCTCACCACCCACCAAACCACCCCAACCCAACCCGAAGGCCTCAATTTACCCTCCATTTCCAGTGGGGGGGGGTCGGGGAACATCGAAAAAACACATATGGAACCCATACCCCCCCCAACCCGAAATGCGGGTCTTCGGGTTGGGTTGGGGTGGTCTGGTAGGTAGTCAGGCAGGGAGCGGAGCGGCCATCTGGGCCTCCTAGATGTAAGTCGGGCCTGTCCCTCTGCAGGAGGACTCTTCAAACGGGGTCCAAAAAATGGTCTGGGGGCGACGGTTCTGCCATGTTCGGCTACGTTTGGTATCTGTGGGGCATTTTTACGGTACTTGTCGCCCAATATCCGCCTGTAGGAGGACACGCCCGACCTAATCCTAGATCGGGTCGGAGTAGATGTGGTCGGGGGATCGCGCCGCATCGTCGATGCATCGGCGATGCGGCTCGATGTGGAGCCCGGTTTGCTTTACGCTGGCGTCGCCGATGCATCGCCGATGTCGCGATGTCTTCGGAGGGCCCCAGAGGGAAGGGATCGGAGCGGCCAGGGCTCGCTTCGGTGCCGTCGGTTCGATTCGATTCGACTTCGATACATATTCCGATTCCGTTTCGATTCGACTCTGGATTCCGATCTGGATCTCCGAGTTCTCAACGTGAGGCATCACCGCTCTGCCATCTCCGCCGATGCGGTTCCTCCCGACTTGGCTGCCGATGTCCGCCGATCCGACGAGTTTCGATCGCCGATTCGACATCCATTCGATTCTGGGCTCTCCTGGCGACGCGCTCTGGACAGTTGAATCGAAGGCCTAGAGGTTGACACCAACACCAAGATCGGCGGTGTGCCGCCACCGAGGGAAGAAGGTCCCGATCTCGGCGATGGTGGTAACCTTCTGGCTTCCACGGTCACCGAAATAGGACCACCCACACTGACATCTAGGACCATCTCTCCCGTGTGAAGGCAGCCCCCTGTGGGAGGAGGAGTAGGAGGAGGAGGGCGGAGGAGGAGGAGGAGGAGGAGGAGGAGGAGGACGAGGAGGAAGGAGGCCGGTGCTGGTGCCAATTTCCAGGCCTCCAAAGTTGGTCGGCTGCGCCGCCGCGGCGACCCCTCGCGGGCGCGGTGGCCGGAGGCGCTCTTGGGTGGCTGGAGGCGTTCGGGGGGCGGCTGGAGCGCGGCAGGGCGCCGATCCGAGCCCGCGGGGCTCCCGGCCGGCCGTAGGCTCCCTCGCGGTCCAGCCTTGGGTGCCCCGTGATTCCCTCTGCTCTCCTCCTCCTCCTCCTCCTCCTCCTCCTCCTCCTCCTCCTCCTCCTCCTCCTCCTCCTCCTTGGACGCCCGGAACGGGTACGGAAAGTGTGCACCATGCCGAACCACACATGTTGCCCCAAACCAACAGGGGCCGCTGTTGGGCAGACGGCCGTCTGTCTCGACTGGACAGGCCGCGGCGGCGCGGACAGCGGGTCCTGTTCAAGATGAACAGGAGCTGTTGTCGGGCATTGTGCCCGTTCTTTCCGTACCCATTTCGGTCGTCCCAATTTGAGGGCACCACCTTTCTAAGTTCGTTCAGGCATGTCGAAAACTATCGTGCCCAAAACGACCAGAACTATGACCAAAAGCGATCACCGCAAAATCGTTCCGGCAAGCCCAAGAGTAGAAGAACACAGGATGCCAAAGCACACCTCTTTCGCACGCCCAGCGACCCCACACGCCCGCCTTGCGTACGCAGGCCTACTTTGGCCTCCCAGCGTCTCAAAAGAATCCAGGGGAACCCACATCTGAGCACCGTGGGCGAGATGAAGCAGCGGTAGTCGGTTGGCCTTCGGGGAGGGGGGGCCTTGTCTTAGGTCGGGCATGTCCCCCTACAGGCGAATTTTGGACGAAAAATGAAGAAGATTCAAAAAATAACAAACAATAATCGAAAATAGTCCAAAAATCGTCCCCTGATTATTTTTTGACTATTTTTGAGCATTCCTCCTGTAGAGGGACGTGCCTGACTTAAGCCTTGTCGCCGCGGCCGGCACAGCTCGGCAAACTGGCGCGCTTGGGCCCTGGGAGGGGTCTGGCGATCGATGTGCAGCTGCCGCTGTCTCAAGTCGTCCTGCTCTGGCGTGGGGAGATCACGGCCGGGCCCTCTCCGCTCCGCTCCGGGGCCTCTCGGGGATCCGCGCGGGTCAACGGGGCTCGTCGAGAGCACAGGAGCAGGAGCAGGGAGGAATCGTCAGCGGCAGAGTCGGTGGTGAGGCTCGCATCCGCGTTCCTGCGCTGATCTCCCCCGCCTCTCCGCAAGAAAATCGATCCGCCCTCCCCCAGCCCCCCGCAGAGGGGCAGAAGCACTCGGGGGAGAGGCAGCAGGACGGGAGGGAGCAGAAGCACCTGGAGGAAGAAGAGGGAAGAGGAGGACGAGGAGGAGGAGGAGGATCAGTGTAATTCCAAGGCGCATCAACGATGTTGCAACAACAAAAAACTCCATCTAGGTTACTCCTTCACAGGCCCACTGGAATTTATGTGCATTGAAAGACAACCTCTGGGAATCCTCATACCTGCCAAGTAGTTACCACTCCTGGGACTTCAACGCCGCGAGTCAACGTGACCGCTGCGCCCTGACAGCCTTCAGTCGTGCCGGAACACCATTCCTGGGCTTTCAACACCGCGAATCAGCGTGACAAGTGCGTCCTGGCGAGCCGAAGTCGTGTCGCAGCCCCATTCGTGAGACTTCAACCCTTCGGATCCTTGGAATTGCTGGAAACGTTTGAGACGAGAGCGCGCGCGGCGCTCAGGCAAGCGCCACATTGTGAAAACCACCCGGCCTCCATCCTGGAAGCAGCTGCAACGTGTTAAGACGATTGCGCGCGGCGCTAAGGCAAGCGCCACATTTTGAGAACCAACCGCTCTCCATGCTTGAAGAGGTTGCACATCTCAAGCGTCAGGATCAGACATGACGAGGCCGTCTCAGGCAAAACGCCGGCCCCGCCCTACGGACACGTCTGGGGGTGCGACTGGGAGGAGTCATTGATGCGGAAACGGAGTGAAGGAGGAGGAGGAGGAGGAGGAGGCGGGGGAATTGGAGATAAGCGGGCCAAGAAAAGCCGTGGCGACGATGCCAATAGAATCCCATTACGCCTTGCAGCAGAGCCTCAGCATCAGCCAGCACCCGCTGAGGCCCCTGCTGGCAGAAGGGCGACGGGCGCAAAGCAGAAGGCCAGGGTGAAGTCGGGCCTGTCCCCCTTACAGGAGGAAGATTCAAAAACAGTCCAAAAATTGTCTGGGGACGATTTGTCTAATGTTTTGTTTTGACCATTTGGGAATATTTGTTCAATTATTTCTCAGATTTCATCAAAAATCCGCCTGTAGGGGGACATGCCCTACCTAAGGCCAGGGAGATCGCGCAGACGTCAGCTCAAGCACGTGGAGAAGCACCAGTGCCTCGAGGCACACGCCACCATTCACGGCGAAAGGAGCTGGGAAGGCATCTACCTAACAGCTTCCAAATATGCAGTGCCTCCACTGTTTCCAGAGGTGGATTGGGTGGTCCGACTGCTGCTACCAACCCCCGTTACCGATTCCAGGAAGCCTTTTTGAGGGGAACACCTGGTGGCATCGGAGGCTGCCGATCCCAGGAAGCCCCCTTGAGGGGAACGCCCAGTAGCACAGGATACCTTAAAGGGCGAGGTTTGGTCACGATAAGTTCGCAGAATATTGCGCTCGTTGGTCCGATTACTGCTGCCAGCCTCCGTGCCTGCCGACCCCAGGAAGCCTCATTGAGGGGAACACCTGTTGGCATCGGAGGCTAGAACGGGCGAGGTTTGTCC